AGACATTTTTCTTTCCAAGAGGGCATTTGGGGACAGGGGGCAGGGGCTAAATAGCCTATTTACTTGAAGAAACACAGTTGGTGCCAGAGTGCTTGGATCCAGCAGTTTCTTTACTTCTCTGAACATGGGGACCCCAGCTTTGCCCTTAGCTGCAGTCCTTTTCAGTTGACTGGGGATGCATGTTTGTAACTGAGGCCTCTTTTAGTGCCAGTCCTGACTTCTGGGTAAGCCAGGAATTCTGTATTTCACCTATAAAACGTTGTGCTAAACTTTCCTTTCCATTACTGAGTGCCTGAACAAATAGTTGCCACTTCTATATAGCATAGTCAGATGTATTTTCAGTAGTCTGRGTTGCATCCAGTAATATTTGAGTTACTTCTCCATTAGATCAATAAATTTTGTTTTGATAAAGTTAAGTACGCTGTAGCTTTCCTTTTAAAGAAGTAGACTTAATGGAATACATCGCAGGTATATTGAAACAGTTTATTTGATGTTTCTTGTTTGTTGAGGCAGCTGCATTCAAATGGTTTACTGTGAAGTTTGTCACAGACATTATCAGAGCCTTCAGGGCTTTTAAATAAAGCAATATTCTACTCAGAAAAGTGACTTTAAAATTGAATTGCAATTTTTTTTTCTCCATTTCAAGCAGGAGACTCTTGTTTTCCTAGTCAGGAAAATGCTTTCTGTTGTGACCCCTGGTTTCAGTAGTTTAATTCTATGTAATATCTCTTTAATTTCTAATGAAAAGAAATGAAAGAATGAAAAGAATGAAAGAATGAAAGAAATCAACAATTGTGTTGATTATTTAAGAAAATAATGAAGTTTATTCTTTCTTACTAGATTCAATCAGCCAGATTCACAGGAATAAGATACATTATCAGTGTACTGGTAGCCAGAAGAAGAGCAGAATGCATCCAAGGAATGGATTTATTCACTTCCAATACCTGCAAAGTGTACGGGTTGTTCTTGAGAGAAGTGCTTTGAATTGAAATTCATTTTTATTTTGTGTGGTTGCAGAACACAGTTTTTGTTGATTTTACTGTGTTGACTATAGTTGAAGAAAAAATACAGTTGATTAYGAGAGGATTGCTAGAGAATAAATCAGGCCTTTGGACAGAATTGTCAGCTGGTGTCAGTGAGGCTGTCCCCAGAACAAGCATTTCCAGCGCTTTTTGCAACTAATCTAAAATCCCTGCGCATTCTAGCTCAGCGTGGCATCAGCAGACAGAGCTGCAGGGGCTTCGGCATTTGCCTCTCCATCCACTCGATGCGACTTTCTCCACTCTTGGTGGCGTGTGACGTGGACAAGCAAGTTCAGCATTTAACTGGCCAGAAGGATTTTGGTTAACAACAACAAAAAAAAGGCTCGGCCTTACGTAAACACCATTCCTTTGTTTTCAGTGAATGGCTCAATTCCAACTTACTGCTGTAAAGAGATATAAAGACTAAAATGCAAAGTTGCCACTCGTGGTGATTTCCAATTTGAAATTTGTAGAGCTTGGCTTTTTGAACTCTGTAGTTTTTTACTATCTGAGATGTTCATGTCATTCACCTTAGCTGCAACATTGGATTCTCAGTAATTTTGTACTTGGGTATGGACAGTCATTAATTAAGGATAATTCAGCTAATCTACAGCTGTGAAAAGGTTGCTTTAAGTGATTTATGGATATAAGTCACAGGAATTTTATGGCAGAGGCACAAAAAGAATCTTAATTCTCTGGAGATGCATTCTGTTGTCCTAACTACAGCATATCCTCCTTTTTCCTTTTTTTTAATCCTTCTTCATTCATTACATGCACTACAGTGGTGGCAACAAAGGAGGCAAGGGAGCCTCCAGACAACAGTGCCCTCCATTGCACTGGCTTGATTCATGTCTCTGGGCAGAGCCCAGGCTAGCACTGTAATCATGTAAATGAAGACTGTAGCCTAGACTTCCACACAAGCAGGTCAAATTAAGGTTATGCAGCCAGGCTTAATTTTCAGGTATTCTTAGCTTTTGAACACCATATTTTGTGATCTGTTTTCAGTAAAATGCTCCAAATTCTTCTGTTTCATGGCACTGTGTGTGTTCCTACACGAGGTAGTTGTCAGCAGAGCACAGCCAAGACCACTGCACATGTGTTCATGCTGTGAATCAGGAAATCCTCAAACCGGGGAGCAGGATCTGCTCTTTGGCATTTTTTTTTTTAGATATTAAGCTGTAAAAAAGAAAATGAATTTTAATTTTCACTTTGTTTTAGTGTGGAAACATTTTAAATAGGAAGTGGAGAAAGGTTAAAAAAAAAACAACAACAAAAAACAGTTAATTCCATCTTTTAAAGTGGGAGTCAGTGGGAGACTGTAAAAGATTTTTCCGCCCATAAATCTAGGAATGCATATTATTGCATTGACTTAAATATCACTAACCAAAGGATTTTCAAGGTATAAAGCATACGAACAGGATGTTCTCTGGTGCAGGTCTTTTCCTCTGAGATTTGCTCATGCCAAAAACACATCAAGCCCAAAAAAACTCCATGCTTTTGTTCAGCCTTTCAGCAGCTGCTGGTTCCCGAATCCTTGGTTTCAGCTGTATTGGCAGCCTCTTCCTATCTCTGGCCTTCAGAATGTCATTGCTCTGCGGAATCCTGCTACGGCCATTCCATGCACTTGGTGAAAGTTACAACTTCCAGAATAAGCCAGACTTTGCAAGGTTACCCAGATAGTGCTGTGCGGTGATCCAGCGCCTTTCGAAAGAATTTATAAGGCTTTTGTTGCCATAAGCCAGATGGATGGAGCCTGCATTTTTGAGAGATATCTACAAGGGGCCATTTGTGTTCCCCAAATATGTGTGTTTGAGGGGGAGTTGTTCCTCTAGGGTGCTGTTYATGAATGACCATGGCTGGGCAGGGCTAAGACTACCTGATATTTCATGTTCCCCAACAAACTCTCCCACTTCTGATGGGCATCTCAGTCTGGTATCGTGTCCAGTGGTCACTGGCTGTTGGGGCAAGAGTTTGAAAAAGTGAGCGGTAATATAAAGTCCTTGCCCTTCAAAGTTTAACACTGCCAGGCTTGTGACAGAACMTAACGTGGTCCATCTCTCATATTTACCTACCTATCAAAATACTATCTCTGGTTTCTAAGTTCATTTCACTATTTGTCATTTCTGTGATCAGATGTACATATTTCTGTCCTTTTAGAAGTACTGCAAACCTGACATAGAAAAATGGTCATAAATTAAATGTCATTGGTTCTGTRACTCAAATTCAAGAGCCTGCCCTGATTCTGTTGAATTCCATTTAGTATTTAACATTTCTTCTCCTCTCCTTCTGAACATTAGCATGAACTGTGATAGAATTTGTTGTTTGATGCAATCTAGTGCAACAAAAATATAGGGGTCTTCAATCTGGTTCCACTTCTATAGCATATGTGGGCACTTCCTTACAGAATATATTCCATTGACAGCATCTTTATGTTGATTCATTGTTAGATGTCACCGTTTCTAGAGAGACTTGTTTTCCTTGAAGGAAACCCTTTAAAAGAAAGTGTTTATCTGTTTTTGAACAAGATACTCAGGACCTCCAGAGGGAAGTTCTCCCTGCTCCACTTCTCAAGCAGCTCTGGAGTTTCTCACTTCAGAGCACAATCCCTCTTTGCCCCCATTTCTACTGGGACTTGCTGTCCCAAGAATAATCAGACCTCCGTGGAGCTGGCGTGAGCCAACAGGAAGGGCTGCTGCTCATCTGAGTGCCACAGAGTGCTCCGCAACAGCGCGGAAACTGCGACGGAAGGAAAGAGCAGCCTCTACGTCGACTGATCCAGTTTCCTGGCTTTTCTTTGGGCTTCAGAAGAGCGTGCATTTTCAGCTGACCTATGCTACTTGCAGCTTTTTGGGAGCTTCCAATCTTGTTAAAGAGCCTGTCTGTCAAAAGGCTTTCTCTGTGGTGCTTTTTCCTTAGCAAGTAGTGAAACTTTGAGATGTAATCAGCTGTATCTTATTCACCGTGACAGCAGTGAAACCATTTAAACCACTGATGCAAATAAAATGTGATCTTAACGTTATTCGTAAATGCTAAGACTCGCAGCAACTCCAGAGACTGAGGCCTTGATCACATGTAAAGCAAATACATCCTCTTCATGTTCTTCTGTGTTCTTGATCATCATTACCATTAGTATAGTCATGAAATCATTACCTGAGTGGAAACTGCCCTCTTAGACGGTGCAGGCTCACGGGAGCTAATGGCTACAGCTGTTGCCTCTGGTTATCAGCGTGCTGCGTTTTGCTCCTTCTCTGGAAAGCACTTTGGTTGCTGTGCTTTAAAGCAGTCTCCTGGAGCTCATTTCTCTGAGAAAGCCAGGAGGCTACTGGGCTGGAAATAACAGTCCAAATGTTTAAGTAGGTTGTTGCCATCAGTCTTATGGCAGGATCAGGAGTTAAAAGAATATCCTCATTTCTGCTGTCAAGCCCTAACACACCAAGGTTCTGGTGAAACAAGCTCAAACCAACAAGCTGGTTTGCCATGTTGTTATCTGAAGAGATGAAAAAGTCACGTGTTGTATCCATGTTATGACATTGCTGGGAAGAGAATAATCATATCRTGTAAGCTCATGCATTTATTTATTTATTTTCTTTCTGATTTAGAATGTGGTATTTTGATCAGTTTAAAAAATAWATATTGCTACAGTAATATTATAGGGCTACTTATTTGGTAAGTGCTACCGAAACATGATTCTTTAATCATGCAGTGACCAGAACAGCCATGTCCAGCTGCCTAGCTGGCACTCTCAGGTACTGCTGGGGGCAAAAAAATTCCTGGTTAGTCTGTCTCTTCTCCTTTCTGGCTTGTCTTCATTTCTGTGTTATCTCTGAATTGTGTACTTTGTCTTTAGAGTGTTTTCCCACTCTGTACTTTTAAATTTGAGCAAAAAATTGTCGAGTGGTTTTGAGATATATGTACAAGGCTATTGAGTTCAYAGGTAGTTTCTTCTTGACCTTTTGTAATGTCTTTTTTTGTTTCCAGGTGTGGGTGGATGCTGGTACACAGATATTTTTCTCCTATGCAATCTGCCTGGGGTGCTTGACAGCCCTGGGAAGCTACAACAACTATAACAATAACTGCTACAGGTAATATTTTCATTCAGTTTCAGTGGAAGAACTGTTTCCATGCTTAGCTTTACACAGAAGAACTTTTCTTTACCCTTTGTGAAGCCGCTTACATAAATACTCACAAGCAGATGCACAGGTTTATACTGTATTTTGTAATTGCTTCAGAAGAACTCTTTTCAAATGTTTGGAGATTTCTTCCCTTTTTTTCCTCTCTAAGTCTTGTACAGCCACAAATGCTCACTTGATACACGCACGTACACATACTGGTCTGCATAACATACTGAATTTCATACATGTTTATTTGCATGTGTGCRCCACGGTTAATTGTCTATCATTTGTCAGCTTTAGAAAATTGTATAAAAATTGTTATTCAAACTTGGTTTATGTTTTGAGTGTCACTTTTATCCAGAGATCCGTGGCTCCTGGCTAAAGCATAGTAGAAGACGATGCTGACAGCCTGCCTGAGAATGAGGCTCACCCCGTTCCTCTTACCATAGCCATTTGAAAGAAAACCTTGCACAGGAACCTCCAGAAAACCATTAAGGGTTGAAATGAGCCTAGAGGCATCTTTCGTTCTCCACTGATTATGCAGAAATAGTTTAGATGACAAACTGTTTGGGCAGATATGGTTAGGTAAGGCAGACCTTACCACAAATAAATACACATTCTGGATATTTGTGGAATTTAGGTAAATTACGTGAAATTTTTGAGAGAAAGCAGGCAGCATGTGGAAGARGAAAATATTTTGTAGAAAAATTAATGCATAATTTAACTCATTACTCATAAACACACAATCTAATGCATAACTTCATGATCTAAGTCAATAGATACTATTTAATCCATTCTAYATGTACATATCCAACCGAAACAAACAACCACCATTTCAGGCACTTTGCCAATAGACATTAYGCACAATCAGTTAATGGCATCTATATCCTATTTTAGGCTCTTTTCTCTATTAAAAATGAAATTATTTTTACAATACAGTTATTATACAGTTAAATTCTGGATCAGCAATTTTAGAGGTAAAGCCAAGGAACTTAAAAAAAAAGAACTTAAAGCAATGAACAATGAGCTATGGATTTGTCTTTTGAAATACCCAGTGACGGATATTGCCTAAATGAAACATACACTTCCAGACCAGAAAAACATTCTAAGGGGAAGTTACAGTGGAAAATAATGACATGATGTGTTCTAATGTGAAAAGGGAGTAGAAAACCAAACAGCACAAGGATTTTCTTATTATCAACTTGATTTAATTCATTAACATTGTAAATGAGTTGCAAACAAGTCACTTCATATCTTTGAATAGCTTTTAATGTCTTTACTAATTTTCACTGTAATACACTAATATAGTAAGAAATTACTTGAGGCCAAGTCCTCTTGGGTTTTCCAAAAGTTTATATCAAAAGTGACTTTCATGAAGAGATGAAAGTAACGGTAGCAACATCAGTATGAAATGTTTTTTTCAAAGTAAATTAGAAGAGGTCTATTGCTGTTTCCTCTTAGGATTGCTTAGCTCGCTAAAACACTAACCTGCTCAGACCTTCTCAGGTTAGAATTTAACACCATCCATCAGCAGCAGACAGGACGGTAAAAGCCTCTTGTCCATATTTCACATACTCTGTACCGGGAGAGCCAGCTCTCCAGGAGCAACCATACGACTCCACAGCCTCACTGGAAGCTGCACCTCACTGAGACAGGTTTTACACCTGAACCTTTTGTGCAAATTAGGAGTTGGCTGTACTGGTACTGCTACTTACCGCGGTGCAAGATAAAGCTTCAAGTCTAAAAGCAAAAGAGGAACAGGAGTTTACAATGGCAGAAGGAACTTTCAGCAGTGTGCAGGCCATCGGGCACAGTGAGGATAAGGGATTCTATCTTTTTCCTGCTCTGGGAAAGGCGTGTAAGAGGAAGCAGGACTTGGATTTATTTGTTGTGAAACCAACGATTTTTAAAACACAAGTGCCCAGGAAGCACTGGAAAAAGAACGCAATGTTTATCCAGTTTTCCTTCARTTTTTTTAAGTATCTTGGGTGTGATACCCAAGATCAGCCAAAGATCACCCAAGTCAGCCAAAGCCTGACTGAAGTCCGAAGTGATTGCAAATTAAGGGAAGCCTTCAAATTTTTATGAAAACCTCACATTATTCCAAATGAATGTCTTGCSTTTCATCTGAATAATTCAAGGCTGCAGATTCAGAACCTGTTGGATGCTTGTGTACATGAAAACTTCATTCAGAGCTGGAGCATGATAGGAAAAAGCCAGGCAAAGGTATAAGTYTGACAGAGCTACTGGCTGGCTTTGTGCTTCAGTATTTTAGGATCCTAATTTACTTTTAGACATCTAGATTAGAGTATTACTTTTTCAAATATGCAGCCATCTCTTGTATCAAACAGTCTTAAGAGACTGACTGTCATGGTAAATCACACCTACCTCCTCTATTGTTGAGGAGGCCAAAGGTCTCTGAAAACAGAGTGAACGATACTTCACTGAGCTCCACGCAAAGACAGCACAATTCTCCAAACATATTTTCACATTGTTTTAAGTGATTTACTGTGGTAATACTTCCAATATAGGTAGAAAAACACTACCATGCTTTAGACTGTATATCTCTTTGCATAATATACACATCCATATGGCTTATAAATCAGTGACCATATATACAATTATATCTTTGCCTATTTCTTAGGCTGCTATTACAGAATGGATAGTGAATTTTGATACCATAGCTTCTAACAAAAGTTTGCTTCTAAAACTAGGATCATATTCTGCATGCATGTGAATTGCCATTATACTGCAATAGATTTAGCTAAGGTCTGACTGTAATATTTTTTTCCAACAAACAATTTGTGACAGCTTTTATATAGTTGATGAGTTTATATCCTCTGGAATACATTATTACAACTACTATTTTTTTTTGTTAAAATCCTATTTATTAGGGCTTCATTTGGCTGCACTTTTAGAAGATGCTTTTGAAGAACAATTAGTAACAACAGGTTTCCAATTTGAGTAGTCAAAAACCGAGAAAGGAAGGGGTCTTCCTGCACGTGCTCTCAGGTCTCTGATCATTTGTGAGCTTATTCAAGCTTGGGTTGAGAGTTAGTCTCTCAACTCAACAGAGTTGGGTTTCTGCTAGTTGTGTGGCTCAGTATGTGAAAGAAACTCTCAGGAGATCAACTCTGTGGTGTTTTCTATTTATCTTTTCAGAGACTGCATCATGCTCTGCTGCTTGAACAGTGGTACGAGCTTTGTTGCTGGTTTTGCTATCTTTTCAGTTCTTGGGTTTATGGCTTATGAACAAGGGGTTCCCATTGCAGAAGTCGCAGAATCGGGTAAGTTCCAAAAGAATTTTCTGAGCTAATAAAAGTGCCTAGAGATTGCTGGCAGAATACTTAGGCTGTGCCACATCTTATAGAGGAGTTGACGGGTATTCAGGCCATTTTTCAGAATTTTCTCTCAAATAACTGCTACCTGATGCATTAGAGTAACTGCTACTAGAACTCTTAACTATCCAAAAGCCAGAACGGCACAAAGGCCCAGTGCTGCAAGAAACTAAGAATTCAACTTACCATCACTTAGGGTTAGTTGCCTAATGAAAGATCATAGCTTTTTAATGCCTTTGTGGATGTAACTTCCTTAAGTATCACTCAAAGCTCAACAGAAAAGAGAAAAAAGCAAGAGGGCTGCCCAGAAAGAAAAGCAGTATAATGCTGAGCTCTTGAGGAGGAATGGCTCTCATGAGACCTCTTATTCAGGGTTAAGAGGAAAACTGCAGACCAAGTAGAGCTTTACTGATACTGTCATGGAAAATGGTTCTCTTTTCCTAAAGCCCCCAAGACCCAAGGTATATGAGTCTTGCTGTCCATTTACACAAAGAAACAGGAGAACTTAAGGCACAGTGATACCTACTGGAACTCTTGAACATCATTTAGAGAGGATGTAGGCAGAGCTGATGGGCCAGGTAAGTCCTCAGCACTCATTAGCTTCATCACCAACTATTTATACTATTAGAAAAATGTGCAGTCAGTCAAGGTTTTCAATATTATAATTTACTTTTCTCATCTCTCATAAAAGACCAATCAACTACAAACTATTTCCTTTGTTTTCTTCCTTTTCAGGACCAGGACTTGCATTCATTGCTTACCCTAAAGCTGTTACCATGATGCCTCTTTCTCCTTTGTGGGCTGCTCTGTTCTTCATGATGCTCATATTCCTTGGATTAGATAGTCAGGTATGAAACAAGCACAATTTAAATAGTTTGTCAAATTCTGTAGCATTTATATATTGATGCCCTTAATGGCATTTAACCTGACGAAAGAATGAACCCTTACTGAATTTCTTGTTTAAAACTATTTATTCAAATTCCTTCTTTTAATTATTACTTACCTGATGTTGAAGATTCCTTTATCATGTACTGCAAGCACCGATTCAGCATGAATATAACTTTTATTGTTAACATGGAAATTAGTGTGAACTTAAATATGGGTGGTTGAAATCCACAATTCAGTAAAATGCCACTTTTCCCCTTCTCCTGCGTTTAAAGCAATTTGCAAAGAATTTTGAAACTGAAGATCACATAGCAAAAACCGAAGTTTCTAAGGTATCTCGATATTCCAAGTGGAAACCCATTACGTGTGCATGGGTTGGACACTTACTATTTTTGCAGAACTTCTCCTTTCTGAAGAATGGAAAGTCAAGTTACCCAGTGCTCAGCAGTGCAGAGCCCTGCATGTCATCCTCTGAGTGACTAAAGCGCAGGATGCCCAGAGTGAAAATCTGGGGCAGTCCTATGAAAACGTTTGTTTATCATTTAAGACCAATTCAAGAAAGATTTAACTATTTTTTTAGCTCTCTTCTACAAGGTGAGTTTTGAAATACTATTAATGCAGATATTTGAATTTGATGGTGAACTAGAAGTCTATAGTTCGAAGCTTTTTAATTCTGAAATGATGTTCCTCTCTTTCTGACCTTCTCCTTACAGGCATCTCAGAGATGTGAATCTGCCTCTGTGATGAGAACACAGAAGGGTATTTGAAGGGTTTTGTAGTGAATTGAAATCAAGAGGGCACAGGAGACACTTATTTGTACTTTCTTGTAATTTGTTCTAGTTTGTGTGTGTCGAAAGCATTGTGACTGCTGTGGTGGACATGTACCCAAAGGTTTTCCGAAGGGGCTACCGAAGGGAACTGTTGATTCTTGGCCTTTCTATTGTGTCATACTTCATTGGCCTCATAATGTTAACTGAGGTAAGATGTTCTTTACTACTGGAGACAACAGGAAATGGGTGTCTCTTCATAAATCATGGCAGATTCAAGCCATAAACATACATTTGGCATAGACAAACTTCTCTGTCAGGTATATCAGTACAAAATACTTGTACTATTCTCATTTATTGTATAATATCTGAAATGGATGCACAATTTTTCAGCTAAAGTTGAGATATATTCTAATGAAAGTTCTATAGCCAAAGAAATTCTATCTTCTTTGCACCAGCTATGCTGATTATGGTGTCTATTCTTTCACTCTGAACATGTCAGTCTGAAGAGAAAAAATATGTTTTGGAAAACCTTCACAACAGTTCAGTCTGTTGTAAGAAAGAGAAAAATTACAGAAAAAGAAGAAAAGAATTATGCTTTCGTAGATTTGCCAATTGAAATAATTGAGTTGTAATCAAATAATAAGTGAGGAAGTAAAATTATGTTCAGGTTTAGCATACTTACCTTTTATCATACCTGTTTGGYCTGTGACGTTGCTGGATGCAGAGAATTACAGGATCATTGACAGGAAAACGTGTACTGGAAACAGGACCCTACCTTTGTCGCTCTCCTCTCCGGAAGTGCACAGGTTGCTATTATAAAGCCATTCAGAAAACACATTTTGACTTTCTGGCAAAAAAAAAAAAAAAAAAAAGATGATTACTATTTCATTTTCTATCAAATAATAATGATTTATTTTAGAACTCAGTTGCACATTTGGCACATTTGGCACAGTTATATTCAAATTTTATGGGTCAGTGTACTCACTTTGGAGGGACACATGCCATTGGATAGGGATTCTAGTAGCTATCACTTGCTTTCCTTCCCAGGATTTAACTTTTACATTAATGAACAGACATTAAAACAGACATTCATGTGGAGATCAAAAGCACTTGCCCGAGGAGATAAGAAATGAAGTTGAAAAAGATGGAAAGGTAGGAGAGCATTGTGCAAACAAGTCAAATGCAGCGCCCCATCGTTTCAGGTTCAGTGGCTAATCTTAGGTGGTATGGAAAAAAAAAGGATCCTTTGCAATAAGAAATGACTGAAAAAAAAAAAAAGAAAATTCTGTGTTCCAGAAGGAGCTCAGAAAGATTGTAAAGGAACCAWCAGATTGACTGCCTAATGGAAATCCTTATCTCTGTGAAATACTGCTACCACTGCTCACACTATTTTTTTCCTTCTCCTATTCTTGTCTTGCAGGGTGGCATGTATGTCTTTCAGCTGTTTGACTCCTATGCAGCCAGTGGCATGTGTCTCCTTTTTGTTGCCATATTTGAATGTGTCTGCATAGGCTGGGTTTATGGTGAGTTGCTGCAGAGAGCTGTGCTTTAGACTTTCTATGTGAGTTTAGTGTTTATGCAAAAGCTAAGCCCTCTCACCCTCATGGAGGGAGGCCCACGCTCCCTCCCAAGCACTGCTGAAAGTCAGGACGGATTTTGTCCTGGCCAGTACACTGTCTTCTTCTCCCTTGCCGGGACTGACCTCCACCTTTCTCCACAGGGCAGTCCTTAACTCACTGCCTTAGCAAGCAGGAGTCTCCCAGTATTAGGCAACACCCTGAACTAATTACCCTTTCTTCTCCTGGAATAATTCCATTGGGTTCAGATATCCTGCACTTGTCAGCCTAGGCTCTGCTTAAGATCAGAGGGCTGAGACTACTCCCACACAGAGCCCCATTACCCAGTACTCCGGGAGATGTTCTCAGCCAGGAAGGCACATCTGAGCCATTCCACTCCTAAGCCAATGCGGAACTTTTACCCTTGTGTAACTTCAACTCCCTCCCTCATGGAGGTTTAAAACTCCAGTGAGTCCAGAACCAGTTTACAAATGAGTGACACATCCCTGCTCCAAGGGCAGCAATCCCTGCCACAGATGTGAGCAGGTGACCAGAGGTGAATGTGAGAGGGAAGGGGACAACAGCGTCAGACCTCACAGCTCTGCACAGCCTTCATTTTTCTCCTTTCCTTTTTAAATACTAGCCTGTCKAACCTGTACAACCTCCTGCAAACAGCACATTCTACATCTACTTCTGCTTTATGTGTACGGCTTTTCCTTTCTGTACAGGTAGCAATCGCTTTTATGATAACATTGAAGATATGATTGGATACAAACCACTGTCATTGATYAAATGGTGCTGGATGGTCTTAACTCCAGGTATTTGTGCAGTAAGTATAGAATATCTGAATAACTTGTCTTAAGACATATGGTTTTCTGCACAGCGTTTTAGAAATTTGCAGCAACTGTTGAGGGGAAAAAAGCCTGTTGATTTGTAGCATATGTTTTCATTCAAAAAAACTGTAGGTTCTGTAAAAAATTGTGGAATGTATGTGTTCATACAGGCCTAAGGTGCAAAAGAAGGACTGGAACTTCGCCTAACAGGAACTGGCAGTCCTTGAGCTGTGCCCCCAATTCTATTTGAGAGCTTGGAAAAAATCGTAACTCACTTTCTCCAACTCTGAAACAAAATTACTATCACTTATACAGTGTTTCATTACTTTGAAGTAGTAACTTTTTCTATATTACATAGACTTAATGATACGAACTGCTTAATTTTAGGCACCTGCCCCTTGTAGACAGATATATTTGAGCTTTTGTGAGCTTGAAATATTTGGCAGGCAGGACTGAAGGTACAGGCAGTGGATTAGGGCAACTCAAAACATTTTGCCTTTCCCTTCTAGGGACAGACTGGGGAGTACCTCGCTTATGTCGCTTAATCACAGCTGCCTTTGTAGAGCAAAACTTAATCTTTTCCACCCAAAGTGCAGGTTTTATTGTCATCTAGAGGTAAACAGGATTTAAACTTGAAAGGTAGTTAATTTCTGTGGAAGAAGTGAACTGTGTTATTTCAGCTGCTTATAAAAGAGGATTTTGTGGTGTTTTTTTTTCTCCTCTGACTTCAAAGCTTCTCCTACCTCCTGTCTTCCAGAAACTGCCCTTTTCTAGGCTAACACTAACTTTCTTGTTACATACACAGTGCTGTTTCAAATACTGCTAATACATTTTGTTTATTTCAGGGAATCTTCATCTTTTTCCTGGTGAAATACAAGCCTTTGAAATATAACAACGTATATACGTACCCTGACTGGGGCTATGGCATAGGGTGGATGATGGCGCTCTCCTCCATGATCTGCATCCCACTGTGGATCTGCATTAAGCTGTGGAAAGCAGAAGGCACCTTTTTAGAGGTGAGGGACATTCACAGATTACACAGACTCAGAAAGGAAGTGGGAAGGGAGTATGAATCCATCTGCATGAGATTAAGCACAGATTAATCAAGTTTAATCAGTGCTTTTCTACAGCAGGATCCAAATACCTTTTCCAGTGGTGTCTGAATCATAGCTGGGCTTAGGCCTTTCAGTCACTGGTGGATTTTCCCCCATGAGCTGGAAACAATTCTCCTGATCCAATATCTGTGTGAGAAATAGAGSGAGAAAGTCAAAGTGAAGTGTCCATAATACAGTTCTATCAGTATAATTAAAAGGAAGTTTTCTACAAATCCTACCATTCAGTATTCCCTTAGATTCAGTATTCCCTTAATGTTCCCCTCAATCTTAATCCATTTCTCCAAGGAAGAGGCACTTGTTAAAAGAACCTTCTTTTGCATGGCCTTGCCGCCTGAAGCACTGCAGACTTGTCCCCCTCTAGTCTATGCCTGAATTAGAGGGGGTTTTATTACAGTTGGGAGCTTCCTAGGAAACCACCTTCCAGCAACACCTCTGCTCTCTAAGCTGTAAGCAGCAACATTGATCCTGGTGCTATTCTTAGAGAAAATTCTCTGTTGGACACACGCATATTTTTCTTCTATTCTTTACCATAGTTAATACATATTGGGCAGTCTCTTGTGTAGCCTGCTCAGTGCATATACTTGACTGCCATGAGACCCACGAGGCACCCCTAAACCAGGCCTTAGCTAGAGCACTGGGTTGAGTCACTTCATGAACTGAATGTTACTCTTAAATCAGTATTAAAAATGTACTTTGACTTTGCCTCCCTCCTCATGCCCTGGTATGGTGTGATGTGAGCCGCACAGTGCGGCACGCGCCTTTATTGGTAGAACTAACAGGAAAGGAGACAGACATGAAGGAGAAGATGATTTTGCAGTCGGACTGTGTCTGTGAGCAAGAAAAGGATAATGATTTCCACTTTTTCCAATTTTCTAGAAATTCAGGAAATTGATTACACCTAGCTCAGATCTGAAAATGAGAGGGAAACTTGGAGGAGCAGCCTACATAGCAGCAATAAATGACTGCGACGCCAAACTGAAAGGAGATGGCACCATTTCAGCCATTACAGAAAAGGAGACACATTTCTGAAAGAACTATCTTTTTGCCTTTTTTTTTTTTTTTTGTATAAATAAATAAATAAATTCACTTAATTATAGAGGCTGGCTTGTTTTGCACAAAATTTTATTAACCAGTTAATTTTAAAGTCAACATTGTATACCTGTTTAAAAGTGATTTTTTTAAATGACTATATAAGTAATAAATATGTAAAAGAAAAAGAAATAATAGTATTGTGTATTAGTGATGACTTCCTGTAATATGGTGATTGCAGTAAATTTTTTTTTAGAAGTTAGAGGGATCTGTATAATGTGCTGTAAAACTTTTCTATTTAGATTTCTGGCAGATGTGATGTTGTATAGATACATGTGTTCTAAACTGTAAGCATTTCAGACCATTTCAGCTTTCAATGTATGTATATAAAGGGGACCAGAATGTCCTTTTGTTTATGTTGGAAGAAATCATGGAGGGAGAGAGGGGCTCACCTGTAGCTGCTGCTAAGTATCACTGTCGAAATGTGTATCCAAAGTCCATGAAAATCAGTGGCGACTTTTCAGAATATTTCAGAATATTCAAGGTTGGAAGGGACCTCTACAGATCATCTAGTCCAACCTTCCTGCTCAAGCAGGCACACCTAGAGCATGTGGCACAGGGTGGCATCCAGGCGGGTTTTGAAGACCTCCAGAGAAGGAGACTCCACAACCTCCCTGGGCAGCCTGTTCCACTGCTCTGTCACTTTTCCTATTTGGGGTAGTGGCTTTTGCGCTGGGCCTGGAAGGGTTCGGCCTTTCCCTGGCTGTGCAGCTGCAAGATGGAGCTTTACCCCTAACAAGGCTCCTTTCAGGCAAGTTCTGTGCAGTCGACAAAGTACCACCTCAACCTGTTACCTCCCCTTCTTCCCCTCCATCTGCTTCCAACAGGTCAGAGAAGGTGGTGGAATGGGCCCGTGGCAGAGTCGCTGTTGTTCTGGAGCTGGGATGCAGAGTTTGTTGGGAGCCATCAATTCTGCAGTTCTTGCACATCTCCAAGTTCATGAGAAGTTTTGCTTCAAGAGACCTCTGAAGCTTTTTCGTTCTCCTTGGTCTCTGGCCAGTCTCTGGCCAGTGCTTCACTTTGATTTACTTTTCTCATACCCTGAAATGGATTGCGCTTATCTGGAGTTGTGCAACAGGAGGAGACTGAGGTTACTTTATGCATGTTGAGATGTTTTGAGGCAAAAAAGAATATATTTAGTTCTCTGCAAATATTTTGGCCTGTCTGTCTCTTCCTCTATCTACCTGTTCACCTATTCATGTCTGTCAAAAGAAATCAAGGATCTTGGCATGCTCATGTGCAGCACAAATACAGCTCTGTTCTTTTGGATCTCCATCCTCTCAGATTAGGCAGCAGCTCTTCCACCTTAAATGGCATTCAGACCTCAGGTGTTACTGAGTGCTTGACTGGAGTGGTGGCTCCTTGAGCTCTGCAGGATGTCCAGGAGTGAAGGACACATTGTGCACAGGAAGGAATTAGGACAGGGACGTTGGGACTTCACTGTTTCTGCAAGGGAACAGTACTGGTTTATTCCATCAATTGTGTAAACGCCCTCTGAATTAAAGCAGATTTTAAACCTGTTGGAAGGTCAGAACCATGAGGTATCCAAATGCTGGTTCCAAGATGAAGATTTATAGGCTAGCACTTCCTGTCTTTTCTCCCGTCTTCGTTTCAAACTGTTAAAGTATGTTTTTATTTAATAGCTGTGTGAGAAACCTGTGYAGGAATACTTACAACATGTAATCAAACCATGTATAAGAGAGAAACACCAGAAGCAGCAAAGTCACAACAGGGATGAATTCCAAATCACCCAAGCTCAGACAGAGCATGTGGCATTACTGGGAAGGGCAGTAGGAGATGTCCTGGTGCCCTCCAGCTCGAGGAAGAAAGTTCACCACGAGTACCAAGGAGTACCTTAGTATTATATGAAGTGCTTACGTAGCCAGCACTTTATGGTATCGTAATTGCCTCCCACGAAAGCATCTTTGCTAGAATCACTTGCTCGCAAGTCAGATTCTTCAGTCTAATTCATTTATTCCATCGTATTTATATTTTTGGTGTGGTAGAGCAGAAATCCGAAAGTGAGACCTCCCCTACCACAGCTCTATTTCAGATGTTTTAGGTGCTGCTTTATGTGGAGCCTCTCCATGAATACACATGTAAGAAAGGTCGATTGAGGAGGCCAGGTCTTAGTGGGGGCAGAGCCGCTTTCCTGCCTGGGCTGCCCCCCAGGGGAGGCTCTGGCTGGGCACCCAGCTCAGGGGTTACTGCTCACAGCCGCAGCCAGGCTGAACGCGTGGGGAAGAGCCAGAACGAGAGGTGCAGACTGAGGGAGTAACTCCCCCAAATCCTCTGAAGCAACAACAGTCTGCACACTGCCTGCCACTGCTGCTGACACAAGGCCCGCACCAAAATTCAGGAATCAACATTTCTGGAGTTTCCAGTGAGTCACAAGTATTTCCAGTCGAGTGATCCTTTTCAGTCCTCTGTCCTTCCACCTAGCAAAGCCACGGAACTGGATCCCRAAGGCAGCAGCTTGCCGTCGACTTTGGGCTGAAGCCTGCTCCCCGAGTCAGGCTCTGCACCGGTGCTGAGTGAAGGACACACCAACGCAGATGGAGCATCGAGTCGCGCTTGGCCCTTGGCCTGCATTAACACCAGGCTGTCTGCAGCTGTAGCCTCGTGGGTGCCTGTAGGGAAATGTGCCAATATGGGCAACCCTGCTCCTGCCCCAGCTGGCCACCCGCTAGAAACACAACGGAATCGCCACACAGCACTGCCCTTGGAATCTCAATGCTYGCTGCTGTAGCGTAAAGAGCAGCCGTGCATCTCAGCTTGCCAGCATGCCTCGGCCTGGCGCGCTCGCCCAGGTGTCTGTGCAGGAATGATGCCCTCTGTAATTAACCTGCTTCCTGCTCTGCTGCTACGACCCCCTTCACCAGTAGCTTTATACACATACAGGAGTCTGACATGGTCTAAGCATTATCATGTATTAATGTGCTCTGCTTGTAAATGTGTCCATTTAATATATGCCTTTAACACTTTACTCATTTTTAAACTATTTTTGTGGGGAGGGATGTGGGAGGGCAAATTTCCTAGTAATATTGTAATTTTTTTTTTTTTTTGGCAACAGAATATGATGGGGGAAAATTGGAAAAAACCTTGACTATATCATTGTGATTTTTGTACACAGTAGAAACAATATTGCCCTTTTCTGAAGTATCTAAAGTACTGTTAAAAATAAAACAATAAAAATGAGCAAACACTATGGTTTATGTAACATTTTGCACAAAGAAGGCTTCTGTTTAGTTTTTAAGGGCATAAGATTTTGTCTGCTTATTCAATTTTGAAAATTAAAGGAAGTGGACAAAACTTCGTCTGTGTTTTTAGTCAGTGTGTTGTACATGGCCGTCAGCTATGAGATTAAATCATCACAGCCTCCCTATTAGGGCAGACAGACATCCCTCACTTTATTAATGGGGCACTGAGAAGCAAGAGAGGATTAAGCAACTTGTTTATGGATATCCAAAAGCCTGTGGCAGAACCAAACCCAAGATCACTGAGCTCAGGGGTTGGCAGCTGCTGACACCTAAAGAGAGCCCACGTGGCTGTGGAAGAGGGGAGCCCTCCCGTGGCGCTCGCGGTGCCGCTCCCGGGAGCTGTTCCCCAGGGCCACTTCGCGTTGCCCCAAGCGGCCACAGAGTCCGGGCAGCTGCCGCTGCAGGGGCAGATTGCTCTGGGTCCCTGGCCAGCTCCGATACCCCTGGTCGCCAGCACCCAAGGCACGACCTGGCCACCAAGCGGGAGGTAGAAGGGAGGCCCGCGGGAGGGCAGTGCTGCACCCCAGCTACCACATGTGTTACGCTGCACTGAATAACCTAGTGCGCGTCGCCTCAGCCACAGGCCAGCGCCCTGTCCCTTTCATCAGCGTCTGGGCTAYGATTTTATGCTTTAATACTCTTCTTTCTTATGTCACTGGCCTTTGTGCAGGGAAAAATGCTTGTTTTAGTACATGCCATACTGATGAAAAATTCTGATCCTCTACCCCGAGGCACCCTATTATATGGGAGCCTGACACACAGGAAACAACGCTCTTTTCTTAAAGGCTACCTCTCATCTTGATGAGGCATGGCTGTAATAAGCAAAACGTGCTATGGATTTTGACAGAGCCTCCCAACCCCTCCGGCTGCACCCACAACTACCCGGTGGCCAAGACTCTGCAGGAGGGTCACGCACCCTCTTTCCAGGCCAGACCTCCCCAGGCTGCAGCTCCGGCAGCCCCCGTGTCCGGCTGGGCAGCCTGGGAAGCAGCTTGGTTCCCTGCTCCAATCCTGCAATAAACACTGGGTAAATCTGAACACGCTGGGAAATGTACTTCAAGATGCTGATTCCCTGTGGGCATCGGCAGTGCAGCAGCAAGTCTGAAGAAGGCCTCTAAAAACACCAATTTCAGCATGGATCAGCCCTGCTGGATTACTGCATGGGTATTACAGGTGGGCTCTGGAAGCTTCCACTGGCACATCTGGCGTTGGACAGTGTGAGAATTTACACATTCGGAGAACACTGGCTGAGATATGGGTGCTGATTTGAAGTAAGAATTCGAGGAAGGCCTTGCAGATCACTTTTCCTATGCATTCTAATTGTAAAAGAATCAGATGCTTTCTTTTTTTTTAACTTTTGATAGAGGCACCCATCCCCAGCCTTGTCCTATGCTCCCACTGACTTGTCCTAAATTCCAGTCACATCCACTTGCTCGCTGAGCGCCAGGCTCACGCTGACTGCAGCATCCTCTGCTTAGACTTTCAAGCTAATTTTCTACATCTGCCCTCCTTGATTGCCTCTATTATCATCCCTGTTTCTCCAGCCTGCAAAAACTATGGCCTTGAGCTACAGGCTTGTTACTGTCGAGAACAGGAGCCCAAATGTCACACATGTATTGTCAAAAGGGGAACGAGGAAGTACTTGATCTAGAAATGCTCTTGCTCTCTAGGGCTGTTACAGCAGATGCCAAAAGGCTGAACCAGGGCCCTGTTTCCTCACAAGATGCTGCTGTCACAGCTGTGGAGGGAAAGGGTCCTTCTGTGATATGAGGAGCTCTTTCTCCTCCATGAGTTTCAGGACCTGCTGCTCCTGCAGCCATCGCTTTTCTCCTCAYGCTCAAGTTTCTCTGTGCATCTCCTTCAGTGCAGGGCAGAACACAGACTCAGCCCCTGCAGAAGGAGGAAGAAACAGTGATGTTGGAGGCTCTCAGCTGCTTAGACTAATTAATAATTGAAGTAACAACACATGAAAGCCAGGTGTGGGGAAAGGAAGGTGATACAAAGGGTAGGGAGAGACCTTAGGAGGAAGATGAAAGTTTGTGAGAGGGTGTTAAGGCTGCTGCTTTCTAGGTATGTTTTGCCCTGGAAGCTGATGCCTAAACTGGACAGGCTGTGGCCTCATCCATCACCAAGCTGCTTC